GAGGCAGGAGACTCGCTTGAGCCCAGGAGTTGGATGTTGCTGTGAGCGTGATGCCATGGCACTCTACCCAGGGGGATAGCTTGAGGCTCCGTCTCAAAATAAATAAATAAATAAAAGAATCAGCATGATAAAAATAGGTGGCAAATTGCTTAGTAAATACTGTCATTATTAATCTGATCATACCTCCCTTATTTGGCCCTTCCCACTCCTGATTAACCTACCTGATGTCTCCTGACAGGCACTACCTGGATGATCGAGATCCTCTCCTTAATCCTGAAAGACGGGGATCCCTCCTGGATTCGCTCGGTGCCCATCTGGGAGCGGGCACCCTGGTGTGAGACCATCATGAGTGCCTTCAGCCTCCCAGACCAGGCCAGCCCCCGCCTCATGAGCTCCCATCTTCCCATCCAGATCTTCACTAAGGCTTTCTTCAGCTCCAAGGCCAAGGTGCGGGAGGCGGAGAATATGTGTGTGTGTGTCTGTCTGTCTGCTTGGGTGGGGGTATGGAGAGAGGGAGCATAACTAATTGAGTCTTTCAGAACCTGGTTATTGGGCACCTACTAGGTGCCTGACCCTGATCTAGCACAGAAATGCCCGCTCTTGTGAGCCCATATTCTAAAGGGACCAGGTAGATAATAGAAGGAACAAGAAAACTCTTTAGTATGTCTGATGGGATAAATTTACATCAGGAGTGAGAAGATTGGAGATAGAGTTGGGGAGGGGGGTTGCAATTATACATAGGGTGGCCAAGACCCCAGTGAGTAAAGACCATGAGGTGTCTAGGGAAGAGTATTCCAGCTAGAGGGAAGAAAAATGCCAAGAGTCTGAGGTTAGTGTGACGTGTCTGACGAGCAGCAGGGAGGCCAGTGTGGCTGGGAACATCTCATGTGAGATGGGAACAGAGGAGTGGCAATGAGGGGGGGTAGGGGTCAAATGTCAGAGCCACCTGGGCCATAGTGAGGACTTTAACTTTCACCTAACTGAGCTGGAAGCGTCAGGAGGGCTCTGAGTGGAGGAGGGGCAGAACCCACTCAGGTTTCTCAGGTCCCCTGAGTTGCCACACAGGGGACAGCCTGGCAGAAGCAAGGAGGAGGCACCTGCCACAGTCCAGGTAGAAGATGGCAGTGGTTGGACCAGGGTGAAGGGAAGGGGCAGGGACTGGGATCCATTTGCAGGTAGCACCAGGATTTTCTGACAGATTGGGTGGGTGTGAGAGAAAGGGATGAGTTAAGGGTGACTCTAAGGCTTTGGCAGGTCAGTGGCAGGATTGGGCTGCCATCACCTAAGACAGAGAGGAGGGGGAGGCACAGGCTTGGGAGGAAGATGGAGACTCTGCATTGGCCCCTGAGAAACCAGGTAGAGGCTGCCTGGTTTCAGAGATGTACAGCTCTGGGTCCAAGAGGAGGTACCTGGGCTGCCATATTCATTTGTGATTCCTCGGTATATATTTTGTGCTAATTAAAGCCAGGAGACTGGGTGGAACCACCAAGGAAGTGCATGTAGACACAGCAGAGAGGGGCCTGCGATCCGGAGGTCCCCAGGACCAGTCCTGACTTGCTAAAAGGACTCACAGCTCAGCAAAGCTGTTATCCTCACAGTCATGCCATATTACAGTGAAAAAATACAGATGAAAATTAGCTAAGGGTAGGGGCACAAGGGACAGGGCCCAGAAGACACCAGGAGCGAGTGCAGCCATATGGACAGCACTTATTTCTCCCAGTAATGATGAGTGACAACATGCAAGGAGGGTTGCCAATCAGGGAAGCCCTCCCAAGCCTTGGTGACTAGAGTTTTTATTTTATTTATTTATTTATTTCATATTTATCTTTTGTTATAGAGACAGACTCACTCTGTTGTCCAGGCTGGAGTACAGTAGTGCAATCACAGCTTACTGCATCCTCCAGCTCCTGGACTCAAGTGATCCTCCTACCTCAGCCTCCTGAGGGTGTCCAGAGCCTTTATTGGTCTGACCACTATGTGGCTGTCCTTATTCTTCAGTCCTTCCAGAGGCCAAGCTAATACCATGTGGCCCAAGGCCCCCAAACACAAATCACAGTGTTAGCCCAAACTCTCTGGCATGGCCCAAGGCCCCAGGTCCCAAATAAATAGATTCTCCCATAAAGCAGGATGTCCCATCGGCTTACAGGGTATGTCCCAGGATGTAGGAGCAAGGGCCACAATTTTTGCTGGGCAAAGTAAATCTTCACTGCATAGGGATCAGGCTGGAGCCCTGGGATACACCAACATAACAAGGCCTGATGTCAGAAGCTACTTTTGTCTGAGTCTTTCTGTGCCTGCCCACCCTTACTCCCTTTAGGCCTTTGCATTCCCTAAAAGAATTTCCAGAGCTAATAGCCAGGCATTGTGGCGCCTGTAGTCCCAGCTACTAGGGAGACTGAGGCAAGAGAATCACTTAAGTCCAAGAGTTGGAGGTTGCTGTGAGCTGTGATGCCACATCACTCTACCAAGGACAACAAAATAAGACTCTGTCTCTAAAAAAAAAAGAAAGAAAAAAAAGAATTTCCAGAGCCTTCTGTGTGCAGGGCTCTGGGATGAGTAAGACCCCACCCTGTCCTTAAGGGGACCCCAACCCTGTGAGTGGAGACACAGGCTGTAAACAGATCATGAGAAGGAAATGATGACGTGCACAAGTGGAGGTGGCTGAGGACTCAGAGGTCCCAGCAAAGGAGTCTCCAGGAGACCTGGAAGTGGTCTGGAGTAGTTGTTAGCGCTGGGCCTTAGAGGAGGAGACAGTGTCCTGGGGAAGGACCTGCCTGAAGGGCAGGTGGAAGGGGAGGAGGAGGGAGACTGTGGAATATGAAGCTGGTAAAGAGATTGCGGCCAATAATCAGGTTATCAGGGCCTTGAATGCCAGGCCCAGGGCATGGGACTCTGTCCAGGGGCACTGGGGAGCCACAGAGGGCTACAAGCAAGGAGGGTAGGGTTGTAGAAAGACCATCTGGAGCCATGTGGAGGTTGGGAAGTTGAGGAGGAGGCTGGGGCTTCAGCTGTGGGAATGGAAAGGGGAGGCCAGCTTCTCTCTTCTTGGTCGACACCTCTCACCCTGACTCCCTCATCCTGAATCCCCTGCCTTCCTCTTCTACTCTTTGTTCCCTGAAACCAAACCGTCCCTCCACCTGGCCCAGAAACAGTCCCTCCTCCTCAAATGTGGCTAAGCTCTCTGTGTCCTCTCGGATGAAACGAGCTGAGCTGAGCTGAGCTACCATCAACTGGGAGGTCCTCTGGGAAGTCTGCCCCAAGTCCTTCCTGCTGCAGGGTTAGAAGAGGGGGAGTCAGGGCAGGCATCTTCTGGGGCCAGGGTCCTAACTGTGCCTAACATTTTTTCCCTTTCTCCATCATCCGTACACAGGTGATTTACCTGGGCCGGGACCCCCGGGACGTTGTGGTCTCCCTCTATCATTATTCCAAGATTGCTGGGCATTTGAAGGACCCTGGCACGCCCGACCAGTTCCTGCAAAACTTCCTCAAAGGGGAAGGTGAGGACTAGGACAAAGCAAGGTGGGAGGGGTGGGGTGCAAGCCAAGGTCCCTGGGGAAAGGAGCCCCCAGAGGACCTGGATGGCAGAACAACAGAGGAGGGAGGAGAGAGGCAGAGAGGCAGGGCATCATAGTGAGTGATGGAGCTGGTCCCAGTGGCTGGCTCCCGTAGTCCCAGCTACTTGGGAGGCCAGGGCTGGAAGATTGCTTGAGCCCAAGAGTTCAAGGCCAGTCTGGGCAACATAATGAGCCTTTGTCTCTGAAAAGTAAAAAAAGAGTAATGGAGACAGCAAGACAAAGAGAAAGAGAGAAAGAGGGAGAAATGGAGACCAAGACACTGAGAGACAAAATGAAAGACATGAGAGATACAGACATGGGGACAGAGAGTCTGAGAGCCACAAGTAAGCAAGAGACAGAGAACCAGGCGGGATCAGCCTGAGCTAGATTGAGACCCCCATCTCCAAAAATAGCCAGGTGATGTGGCAGGCGCCTATAGTCCCAGCTACTTGGGAGGCTGAGGCAAGAGAATCGCTTGAGCCCAAGAGTTTGAGGTTGCTGTGAGCTGTGATGCTACGGCACTCTACCGAGGGCAACATAGTAAGACTCTGTCTCAAAAAAAAAAAAAAAAAAAAAAAAGAGAGAAACAGAAAAAAAGAGACAGACATGGACACAGAATCAGAGACAGACTGAGAGACAGACAGGGAAAGACAAGGAAGGGACAGGGGGCACCAGATGCCAAGAAGCTACATTTTGGGGACCTTCTCTGCTCCTGTTAGAGACCCTGACTTTGAGGGGTAATTCAAGTGTGTTTGTGTGTGTGTGTGTGGGGGGGCGGGTAACCAGACTGCTGATGGATGGACAGACAAAAACTGCCCAAGATTGTCAACCAGGGGAGGGGCAGGTTGGGAGAGACTTTGAACTTGGCAGAGACGTGGGAGGCTTGGGGGAGGATGTCAGCTCTGAGGGCCAGACATGGGGATGTTAGGGAACTAATTAGACCCCCTTAGCCAAGTGGGTGGGGGTGGCCCTCTGCAGGGCCTCATATAGCACCTGCCCCTCCTCCTGCAGTGCAGTTTGGCTCCTGGTTCGACCACATTAAGGGCTGGATTCGGATGCAGGGCAAAGAGAACTTTCTGTTCATCACCTACGAGGAGCTACAGCAGGTGAGTCCGCACCTCCACCTCAGCCCAGCATCCCTCAGACTCCTGCTCACTCCCACCCTCTTCCCTTCCCGTGGGCCTAAGAACACCTGGCTTCCCAGTGCTCCAGGTACTGGGGATACAGCAGGGAACAGAGTCCCTGAATACATGAGTGGGAGACGGACTGTGACAGACCCATAAAATGCACAGCAGGTCAGCTGGTGAGAAGCACTTAGGGGAAAGGCAGGCAGGGACGGAAGCCAAGGAACGTGTGTAATGATTTCAAATAGGGTATTAGGGGAGGCCTCACGGAAAAGGTGACACTTGGGCAAAGATCCAAAGGAGAAAGAAAGGGAGCCACGGAGATATTTGGGGGAAGTGTCCCAGGAAGCAGGAACAGCCAGTGCAAAGGTCCTGCGGTGGCTTTTTCCTTATGTGTTCTAGGGACAGTGAAGACACTGGTGTGGCCAGAGACAAGTGAGGGAAGGGGAGGGCTGGGAGAGGAGGGCAGAGAAGGACTGGGGCACTATGAGGACTCTGGCTTTGTTCTGAGCAGGTGGGAGCCTGTGTCCCATGGGGGCACATGGGAAATGAGCCTCAGTGATGGTCATATGACTTGAGAAGCAGAAGAAAACAGTGGAAGGAAATAGCCCTTGGAGTTTGGACTGGGATCCTCACTGGACTCCATCAAACATCCTCAGGGCAGGCATGAGGGAGACTCTTCTAGGACCATCAAGGAAGGGTCTTTGGAACAAGGAGCCTTGCAATGGCCATGGCTTTACTCAGCTACAAAAAACAATGCTGGGCTTCTAGAAGGAACTGTCCTTGGTCAATATGCCCAACCATTGTAGGTTCTTAACCAAGATCTGTTCTGAGAGTCTGGGAGCCAGAGAGGCTTCCGGTAAGTTCCCTTCATGAGTCGCCCAGGTTGGAGTGCAATGGTACAATCATATTTCACTACAGACTTGAACTTCTGGGCTTAAGTGATCCTCCCACCTCTGCCTCCCAAGTGGCTAAGACTACAGATATGTGTCACCATGCCCTTTTTTTTTTTTTTGAGACAGAGTCTCACTATGTTGCCCTTGGTAGAGTGCCATGGCGTCACATTTCACAGCAACCTTAAACTTTTGGGCTTAAGAGATTCTCTTGCCTTAGCCACCCAAGTAGTATAGTCACCCAAGCTGGGACTATAGGTGCCTGCCACAATGCCCAGCTATTTTTGGGTTGCAGTTGTCCTTGTTGTTTAGCTGACCCAGGCCGGGTTCGAACACACCAGCCTCAGCGTATGTGGCCAGCACCCTACCCGCTGAGCTATGGGCGCCGAGCCAATGCCCATTTTTAGAGACAGGGTTTCACTACATTGCCTAGTCTAGTCTTGGACTTCTTCTTTTTTTTTTTTTTTTGAGACAGAGCCTCAAGCTGTCCCCCTGGGCAGAGTGCCATGGCATTACAGCTCACAGCAACCTCCAACTCCTGAGCTCAAGCGAGTCTCTTGTCTCTGCCTCCCAAGTAGCTGGGACCACAGGCGCCCGCCACAACGCCCGGCTATTTTTTGGTTGCAGCCATCGTTGTTTGGTGGGTCCAGGCTGGGGATTCGAACCCGCCACCTTAGGTGTACGTGGCTGGCGCCTTAGCCGGTTGAGCTATAGGCGCCGAGCCAAGTCTTGGACTTCTGAGCTCAGGCAATCCAACCAACTTAGCCTCCCAGAGTACTGGGTTTACAGGCATGAACCACTGCAGGTGGCCACAGTCCTTTCTTGTGTGTTTCACATATTTTTTGTATTCTTTCTGTCAGTACTTTTTGCAGTAGAGAGTCAGGACTCTGGTGTCAACGCTATTAAAATTCTCTTAAATAACCAGTCTGGCAGAGTGGCTCATACCAGAATTCTAGCATTCTGGGAGGCCAAGAAGGGAGGATCACTTGAGATTAGATGTTCAAAAGCAGCCTGAGCAACAGTGAGACCCCATCTCTGCTAAAAATAGAAAAACTAGTCAGGCACAGTGGTGGGCACCTGTAGTCCCAGCTACTTGAGAGGCTGAGGCAGGAGGATCTCTTGAACCCAGGAGTTTGAGGTTGCCATGAGCTAGGCTAATGATATAGCAACTCTAGCCTGGGCAACAGAATGAGACTCTGGCTTAGAAAAAAAAAATTCTCTTAAAACCTCTGGGGGTAGGCGGCACCTGTGGCTCAGTGAGTAGGGCACTGGCCCCATATACCGAAGGTGGAAGGTTCAAACCCGGCCCTGGCCAAACTGCAAACAAAAAATAGCCAGGCGCTGTGGCAGGCACCTGCAGTCCCAGCTACTCAGGAGACTGAGGCAAAAGAATCGCCTAAGCCCAGGAGTTGGAGGTTGCTGTGAGCTGTGATGCTACAGCACTCTACTGAGGGTGATAAAGTGAGATTCTGTCTCTAAAAAAAAAAAAACAAACAAACCTCTGGGGACCCCCAGAAGTCTCATCCTTAAAGTAGGTGGAAGGGAAAAAGGCAACCCAGAATTGTGAGGAGCACAGTACCTGGCACTGGCATGTTGTAACCACCTGGTAAGGGACATCACTGTGTTAACATGCTATCTAAAGTAAGATTGATTAGATTCTGAGCCGGGGCCTATCTGATTAGCAATGACAGCGATCAAAGCAAATGCTGTCACTGGCTGCCAAATGTCAGGCAGCAAATGCTGAGCATGAATCACCTTATTTCACACTCACAAAGTCTACACAGGTGAAGCACATATAAAATTGAACCACATGAAATGCCAATATTCAACCAATTTTGACTTTCAAGATGGCAATTTTATACCGTTCTCCTTAACGTTATTACCCCTATGTTATAGAAGAGGAAACAGGGTTTGTAACTTAAGGTTGATAATTTGCCCAAGGCATACAGCTCTTCAATGCCAACTCCATGGTTATTTTTTTCTACCCTGGTAAATGTCTTTTGATGGAAAGTTCCGAAAAGGTTCCTGCATCACTCCCTGCCTCCCCCCTCCATTTTCCAGCAAGCTTTCTTCTCCAAACCCAAAACTGGGCCACGTAGCCTAACAGAGCTTCTGGGCAGCCCCTGGGTGTGAGGCGCCGCCCACATTAGAATTTCTGGGACACGTCAGTGGTTCAAGAGGATACAGGGATGGGAGGTTATGAAACCAAGAACGACCTGTAAAATCAGGGTTGCGGGGTTGGTGGCACTGACCGGAGAGTTGTGGGGTGCTGTGCATCAGAAGGCAGTGAGATAGAGGGGAGACTGTGGGCTTTGGGACCTGAACCTGACCTACTCCCTAGCTGTGTGGGCTCAAGTGGCTAAGGTGCCAGCCACATATACCTAAGGTGGCGGGTTCGAATCCAGCCTGGGCCCGCCAAACAACGATGATGGCTGCAACCAAAAAAAATAACTAGACATTGTGGCAGGCACCTGTGGTCCCAGCTACTTGGGAGGCGGAGGCAGGAGACTCACTTGAGCCCAGGAGTTGGGGGTTGCTGTGAGTTGTGATGCCACGGCACTCTACCCAGGGGACAGCTTGAGGCTCTGTCTCAAAAAAAAAAAAAAAAAGAAAAGCCACCTTTAAAAGGCATGTTGATATCGCACAATAGGTTAGGAAGTTTGAGAAGCCAAAAAGCCTGATAGGCATGTGCACACATGTATCTTTAAAACAAATTCTCTCC